AAGAAAGCAGGGAGATGGAGATAGCTTAATGACAAAGAATTTCCCTTGAAATAATGTGAGCATGAGCTTGGTTCATGGCCTCACCAATTCTAGCAAGAACAATCATAATGTAACAATCATAATGTAACAGTTATTTGGCACCCCAGTTACTCTAACTGGTGTTCCACAGTCATGTACAGTCTCACTACTAGTGGGCACTGCAAACAAAGCATGCTACCACATAGACAACAAAACTATCCTAGAAACACTGAAGATACCAGTTGTCATCATCAAGAGAAACTATTCATATTAAAATGAAGTTCATATACCAGACAAATCGTATTCCTGGGAGCACAGCTCAAGTAACGCTTATGTGTATAGACACAGTCCATCTTTGTAAAGCTGTTGTGTTTCCTTTTCTTACAAGCTTTATTTCTTAAAAATAAAAATTATCTAGCATATCATATTTTTCATTTTTAGTAGAAAAATCAGTCTGATAAGCCAACAAGTCACAAAACATGCATAACAAGGAAAATATGATTTTCAAAGTTATAATAAAAATAATCATCAGTATATAATAAACAATGAATTTGAAAAGTCTGTTTTACAGGATTATCCTTAAAATTACTATCATTGCTCTATTAACCTCTTCTACCCTATTAATTGAATAGTCCTTATTGTGAAAATAAAGAGATAGAAATGACTTCAATACTTTTATTTTAATTAACTACTATATTATTCAGGTTGTTTGGGGCTACGCCTAGCAGTTCTCAGAGATTACTGCTTGCTCCGTGCTCAGAGATCACTCCTGGCAGATTTGGGGGACCATATGGGATACCATATAGAATCTAAACCAGCCGCATGCAAGGCAAGCACCAAGACAAGCACTGAACTATTTTTCTAACCCAGACTACTGTAATTTTAACATCACTGAATGCTTATAAATTTTAAATGACTTAAGTTATTTCCAAAACGTATTTCTGATAAATTTCCCAAAGATAACCTAAGGAAAAAAAATGAAATGAACTTCCAAGACATAACCAATTGTTTTACAACTGATTTGCCATAATAAATACTCATTCTGTATCTATTTATTTATTTGTTTTTATTTTTTAACGGCAAACAACAGTATAGTGGCTAAGTCATTTGCCTTCCACACTGCATATGGGGCTGGAGCGATAGCACAGCCGTAGGGCGTTTGCTTACAAGCGGCCGACATGGCTGACCTGAGTTCGATTCCTCCACCCCTCTCGGAGAGCTGGGCAAGCTACTGAGAGTATCTCGCCCGCACGGCAGACCCTGGCAAGCTACCCGTGAAGTATTCAATATGCCAAACACAGTAACAACAAGTCTCACAATGGAAATATTACTGGGCCCGCTCGAGCGAATTGATGAACAACGGGAGGACCGTGATCCCTGACTGCATATGGTCTACCAGGAGTGATCCCTGAGCACAGAGTCACTAGTAATGCCCGAGCATGGGTGTGTCATACACACAAAAGAATTACCCAAAATCTATTTACAGGCCCCCTAAAACTTGCCTCCCAAAGTAAGTTTCTAGGTCATAAAATCAAATTGAGGAAATAAATAAAAGAGGATCATCTATAATGGTAAAGGATAGAACATGATAATTAGTGGTTAACTTAGTGTAGTATGTGCAGATACTGATTAATAACTATACATAGCACATACTATATGATACTAAAAACTCTAAAATGTTAAATAATGACCTCTTAGTATCTGTTTTGCAAACCACAAAACCAAAAAGGAGAGAGGGGGAACAGAGAGAGAGGAGAGATAGAGATAGAGAGAGAGAGAGAGAGAGACAGAGACAGAGACAGAGACAGAGACAGAGACAGAGAGAAGAAAAGTGTCTGTCATAGAGGTGGGGTGGAGATGGGAGGGAAACTGGGGACATTGGTGGTGGGAAATGCACACTAGTGAAGGATGGGTATTGGAATATTGTATGACTGAAACCCAATCTTGAACAACTTTGTAATTGTGTATCTCACTGTGATTCAATTTTAAAAAATTATATTTTATAAAACTAAGAATTGAGCTTGCATATGATCAAGCAATTCCATTCTCCACAATAATACTAATAACAACAATAATAATAAAATACTTAAAATAGCACAGCAGGTAGGGCGTTCGCCTTACAAGCGGCCAACATGGCCGACCCGAGTTCGATTCCTCCGCCCCTCTCGGAGAGCCCGGCAAGCTACCGAGAGTATTCGATATGCCAAACACAGTAACAACAAAGTCTCCAATGGAGACGTTACTGGGCCCGCTCGAGCAAATCGACGATCAACGGGAGGGCCTTTACCTTTTACCTTTACCTTTACTTAAAATAAAATTTACAAAATGTTCAAAACTTTAGTGCCATCTGAACAAACTGAAGGGATCCCAATTGCTGTGCCAGAAAGTGGCCCAGTAGTTCAGAAAGTAACTAAGGCCAGGATGACTCAGAGATCTTAATCATCACCCAGTGCCAGGACATACACCAAGAAGACCCTCACAGGTCCAGATAATGGTCCAGGTAACTCCCTGAGAAGAAAAAAAAGGATAGAGGGCGGAGAGATAATTAGCTAGATAGATAGATAGATAGATAGATAGATAGATAGATAGATAGGGATGGAGGGAGGGAAGGAGGGAGGAAGGGAGGAAGGGAGGCAGAAAAGGAGGGAGGGAGGGAGGGAGGGAGGGAGAGGAGGGAGAGAGACACAGGATGAGAGACATAACTTTATTTAAAGTTCACTTTGTGTAATTACAGATGAAAATATTCGTTTATTTCCTTTATTTCCCTGTGCCCTTTCTGATTTGTTTAAAAATGTTGCTGTTAGAATTAATTAATTAAATGCAGTATTTTTAAATTTTCTTTAAATCCATTGCTTTTCTCATGTTCACAGTTTGAACCAGTGACACAAGAGATAAAACCCAAGAAATACAAGAGATTACTGTCTGGAAACCACAGTGAATGTGAGATTTAATCAGAGATAAGAGGCAGCACAGCCAAATCAAGCCTGGCCCAAATGTATGTTTGATGAGACGATTCTATCTGGGGGGATTTTCAAACCAGCAAGATTAAGATTGATAAAATGGACTTAGATTCTGTCTTCAGCAGATATGAATCAAAATGATCAAACTATTATTATGATCTCTTCCATAGGACAAAAGTCTATAAATATGTTTATGAAATTATATGTATATATATACACTAAAAATAAGAAAAGATAAGAGAGAAGTATTTGAATTCAAGAACTTTAACCTCTTAATTTTAATGTCTTTTGTGATAGTACAAAAGACAAATTCAACAGTTAAAAACTTATTGAATAATAGCACTAATTCATAAATATGCTGATACTCATTTAACTTCTGTGTATTCAATGCTATTTGAATCTGTTAGTTTATTTGATCATCCTAATCTGTTACTATCACTGTCCTCTTGTTGTTCAAACTCCGGTCAACCTGGTTGGCTGCATGCAAGGCAAACAAACGCCCTACTCGCTGTGCTATGGATCCAGCCAGGTCATCCTAATAATCCTTTAAAATGAGTTCTTCTACTATCTATCACCATTGTACAAATTCGGGGAAAGGGCAAAAAGAAACGAAGTAAAGAGTCCAAATTTGCTTTGCTGATAAATGACTGAGCTAGGATTCAAACCAGATAACTGGACATCAGGGTGCATGGATTGTACTATAGCCAAGAATTAAAAGGTTCTAGGAGTTAAGAAGAGGCAAGAAAGCATGGGGGGTGGGGAGGGATCCATAGAATAAATTCAAGGACTATTAAAAATGCATGTTCCTCTTTACAGCACACAACCACAGAGAAGAAAGGCCGCTGGGCGGCTCCACAGCTCCTGGAAAAGGCACCAGGTCCCAAAAAGAGCTGAGACCACCAGGAAGTCCCAGATGGGGTAGGTGCCACATCCCGCCTCCTCCAGATGGCACCCCAGTGACCATGAGCCTCTACAAGCATAGCCTGACGATGCAAGAACCAGGACTTTTACTCCAAACTGCGCGACCACTTATGCGGCCGCGTGACATCTCCCTATATACAAAGTGACCAGTGGAAAGTAAATCATCCAACGTTTCTCCTGAAAATCAGGCTTAACTCTTCTACAAACCACAACACCCAATAGGAGAGAGAGAACAAAAGGGAATGCCCTGCCACAGAGACAGGATGGGATGGGGGTTGGGGGGTGGGAGGGATACTGGGATCCGTGGTGGTGCGAGATGGTCACTGGTGGAGGGATGGGTATTCAAAATAAGTTAATTAATTAATAAAAAATGCATGTTCCCTTTTATTCTTAAAGAACTAATAGGCAAACTGATAAAGATATAGAAAATATTTAAAGAAGTTAAAGATGTGGCTGACAGTTGTTTTTAAAGTACAAAAAATCTACACCCAAAGCTTTTCTCTGCAATCCCTTAAAAACGTTGACAGTCTCTGAGTGAAGTGAATTGGGTGAATGCATAGATACTGAAAAATCAGTATGAAAATAGCAAGTCCAATAATTTCAACTTAGGGAAAAGAATTAGTAAAAAAAATAGATTTTTTAAATTGCATCTTGAATTATATCTCATATCCTAGAAATCCTGAACTTTGTACTATAATCCTAGTTCTTAATAAACTAAGAAGATGAATGTTGAAAAACATTTTTAGAATGAATATTTACTGGTATATTTCAACCAGGTATTTCTTATGCATGGCTATATTACTTATTTTATTCAGTATTTGTGTTTTCAATCATTTAATTTCTTCCTTTAAGAAGTTTTTTAAAATATTAGAATAAATCCAGCTAAAAATAAATTGTTTTCTCCATATTGATTCTTTAGAATATGACTTATATTCTTCTCCTTCAACCAGAGAAAATAACGATCAGGTTTTCAAATGTGTTTCACCTATTTGGAAATCAGGTACTTCTGAAACTCAATAATAAGTTTATTACTATATTGTATTCATGAAATACGTTCACATTTATTTGAATGACAGGAAAAGAAATGCATGAATAACTCACTTGTATTCTAGTCCTCTCATGTGGCATAATTCATTTAACTGACCATAATCAATGATTTTGGAGGCCTTCAAGCCTGCAAAAAAAATCAATTAAAATGTGCATAATTTTCTGTAATCTTATTAAACAATATGTAAGTAGAGTTCAACTGCAAACATTTTTCTCTGGAAAATAAGGCAATGACTATATAAGTGATATATTTAACTATCTTTGAAAGAAAGTAGAACTGAATAGGGTGATTAAAATGAGGAATAGTTTAATTTTTAGTTAATATAAGATCTGGCTTGGCATTATTTAATTCTATAAGTGCAGGATTTTATATGATTTTATAAGATCATTTCTCTAACAGTAATTCTTTAGGTTCTCCAATTCTATGCTATTAACATGTGGTATGAACTCAGAATGCAAGGCAAGCAAATTCAAAGAAAAGTTTTCTTGAAGACTCTTATGTCTGTGTCTGTTCTCTCTCTGGAGAAATGACAGTTTTAAGTCGGTCCTACATGAAGCACCCTTCCATTTTTACTGGGTTAGGCCCTTTTCAGATCACCTTAGATCCTGGATTGTTGGCAATCCTACTGAAGTCTTAGCTAAATCAATCACACCAGATAACTAAGAGCAGAGATAGAGTGTTCACGGCCCAGAAACAAGCTGAGACTGTCTTCTTAGTGCCAGGAAGAATTGAGACACCTTCAAAGGAGATAGAAATAAAGGTGGAGTATTGTATGTGAGGTATCACTAGAGTACTGGGCACTAGCATCACAGGCCCTATTCTTCCTCCTATAGACTGAGTGCTATTAGGAGGCTGTAAATCAGGAGACACGAAAAAATATATATACTATTATCAGCTCACTCTTCAAGCCCACCTTCTCCCTTGAACATGTATCTTGCTTGCTTGTCTTGGTGTTTCGCTACTTCCCTACTCTGGAGAAGAACGTGTTCTCTGGAACATGTGTGATTCTCCTCCCTCCCCTCACATCTAAGTAAATAAAACCTAGCCTGCTTCACACACACAAAAACACACACACAAAACTAATCATCATTTTTCCTTAAAAAAAATTTAAAAATTCAGCAACTTAGAGCATTTCTAAAACTTAAAAAAAAAAGTTCATTGATTACATCATTGGATCACAAATTGGAATATATGTTAAGTTTCTTTCATTTTTATTTAATTACTTTCATTTAATTTCATTTCATTTAATTAATTTCATTTTCATTTAGTTACTAAATTATATTATTAGTTGGCTTTTTTAAAGTATTTGTGCCCTAAAAATTAATTAGCAATTACATACTGTCTATTTAAGAGGAAATTCAATTACAGAAATTTAAACCAAAATCTGATTGCTATCCACATAAATTATACCATTTAGTAAATTTGAAAATACTGATTACACAATTGAGATATTTCTTTGCCTATGTTATTAAATTAAGCCCTAAGAACCAAAAAGCTTGCCTGTTTGGTTTATATGAAATAATTTACTTAAAGGAGCTAATGCATGACTTCATCCATGGATACTAATATGTCTAATGCAGAACATTATATTAAAGTTATTCACATTAAATTTTTAGATACACATATAAGGATCATCCAGAAAGTATTTAGTCTCTTTTACTCAGTTTTAAAAAAAAAGGATTTGAATTAATCCTCTTGACTGATCCTTATAGGAAAGGGTTTGATGTCATGAAAAATAAGAAAGATCAAAATTTGAGAAATTTTGACTAAAAATCACAGGCTTTAAAAATGTTTGCAATCTTTGGGGACCAGAGCAATAGTACAAACAGCAGGTAGGGCACTTGACTTGCACACGATGGACACAAGTTAAATCTCAGGTTTTCCATATGGTCCCCCAAGCACATCCAGGAGTAATTTCTGAGTTCAGAGCCAGAAACAAACCCTGAGCATCACTGGGTGTAGCCCAAAAATTGCAATCTTTGGGATGGAGTGATAGCACAGCGGGTAAGTTGTTTGCTTTGCACGTGGCCAAGCTGGGTTCGATTCCCAGCATCCCATATGGTCCCCCAGCACCACCAGGAGTGATTCCTGAGTGCAGAGCCAGGAGTTACCCCTGTGCATCACCAGTGCAACAAAAAACCAAAAAACAAACAAACAAACAAAAAAGAATTCTTAAAAAAATTGCTATCTTCAATTAAAGTAACTTACAAAAGAAACATAGGACATAGATTTTTAAAACAAGAATCACTAAGCAAATAACGAATTGAAATACTATTCTTTTTATGTAGAATTCACGGGCTAGAGCGATAGCACAGCAGGTAGGGCATTTGCTTGTACATGGCCCCTCTCGGAGAGCCTGGCAAAGCTACCCAGAGTATCTCACCTGCACGGCAAAGCCTGGCAAGCTACCCATGACATGACGTGTTTGATATGCCAAAAACAGTAACAATGAATTTCACAATTCCGGGGCCGAGACCTCCAAGCCTACTCGAATTGGAGTTGAGCATCTTCCACCCAGATCCTCCAAATTCCAGTAGGCGGGGGTCACACCCACCACCTGGCCCCCTGGCGCCGTGTAATCCCATCAGCGGCCAAGACTCAGAGACTATAAAATCCAGATCCCGGACGAGAACAGTGCAGTCTCTGCCCCCGCGCCTGGGTGTTCCTTCCCGGAGTCCCTTGGAGGGGAGCGGGTTGAGCTTTCCTCCCCGCCCCGACCAGGGCTACGGCAGCCGAAGACCTCCAGGACCAGCCACCACCATGCTGAGACCACTCTCCGCACACATGAAGGTACTGGCAGAGGGACAAAGCCACGCGGGTTCCGGGGCCGAGACCTCCAAGCCTACTCGAATTGGAGTCGAGCATCTTCCACCCAGATCCTCCAAATTCCAGTAGGCGGGGGTCACACCCACCACCTGGCCCCCTGGCGCCGTGTAATCCCATCAGCGGCCAAGAATCAGAGACTATAAAATCCAGATCCCGGAACCGCGAAAGCGGCCGCGCGACATCTTACCAGAACTTTTTTTTATGACATCTTATTGTCTCATTCCTATTTTGGACAAACTTGCAGGCTATCGAATGTAGCCTGCCCACAGGGCAGAGTCTGGCAAACTCCCCGTGGCGTACCAAATATGCCAAGTACCAGTAACAATGATGGGTCTCATTCTCCTAAATAGCCTTGAATATAATCTCATGGCTAGGATGAAAGAGACGTTACTGGGGCCTGCTCGAGGCAATCGACGAATAACAGGATGAATGAATGAATGAATGAATGAATGAATGAGTTTCACAATGGAGACATTACTGGTACCTGCTTGAGCAAATCCATGAACAACGGGAGGACAGTGACAGTGACAGTGATAGTAGAATTCACCTAAACTCAGTAAAGGCTGTAACACTTAAAGCAAAGTCTTACATTTTAAAGTAGACTCAAAACCATTAACAGTGCTCATATACTGTTATGTAGACTAATAATTTAACAAAGGCATCTTTATTGATCTTCAATTCCAAGAAGTTTTTGTCACAAGATTAGTTACATTAGGATGCTGAACTGTAGAGATCTTGTGATTGAAGCAGAGCTTGAAGAGGACATGGCCCTATGGGTTGACCCAAGAACTGACCTGGATTACAGAGGGATGCTTATCCCCTATCTCCTCCATGGAATGTGCCTTCATCCATTGTCCCTACACTACGGTCATTTCAAGGATGAAGCTTTCAGAGAATAATGGGGCAAAGGGGATGGGGGGATTGCTTGTTTTGTTTTGGGAACACTTTCCACAGTTCTCAGAGCTTACTCCTGGCTCTGCACTCAAGAATTACTACTGGGGGAGTAATTGTGCACTCAAGAATTACGTCTAGGGGGCTTGGGGAATCATATGGGGTGTGTGAATTGAACCTTGGTCAGCAGCAAGTAAGACAAGAATCCTACCCACCGTTCCAGTCCTGAGAATACTGAACTATATATGCGACACAGTCACACATGAAAACCTCTATATACTCTCTCTCTCTCTCTCTCTCTCTATATATATATATATGTATATATAAAATATACTCTCTTTTTTTGCCTTTTGGGTCACACCTGGCGATGCACAGGGGTTACTCTTGGCTCTGCACTCAGGAATTACCCCTGGTAATGCTCAGGGGACCATATGGGATGCTGGGAATCTTACCCAGGTCGGCTGCGTGCAAGGCAAATGCCCTACCTGCTGTGCTATTGCTCCAGCCTATATATATATATATATATATATATATATATATATATATATATATTCTTAAGATTCTGGTAGAAGTATGCAGATATCTGTTTGTGGGAACCCCCAAGTTGTCAGTCAATAAGTCATTTCAATAAAAGGAATGGGCTGGAGCGACAGCACAGCGGGTAGGGCGTTCGCCTTACACGCGGCCAACATGGCCGACCCGAGTTCGATTCCTCCGCCCCTCTCGGAGAGCCCGGCAAGCTACCGAGAGTATTCGATATGCCAGACACAGTAACAACAAAGTCTCCGATGGAGAAGTTACTGGGCCCGCTCGAGCAAATCGACGATCAACGGGAGGGCCTTTACCTTTACCTTTACCAATAAAAGGAATAATGTTTAATGCAAAAAGGTAGCAGCATAAAATTACAACTGTAAAATCCAAAAGTTGAACTGTTCTGTCCCAATACCCTTTGCTTCACCAGTGTAAATTTCCCATCACCAATGTCCAAGCTTAGCCTGTCTGCTCCTATGGCAGACATTTTCTCTCTGTCTCTCTCACTCTCTTTCTCTCCCTCCCTCCCTCTGTCTCTGTCTCTTGCTTGCTCTCTCGCTCTCTTGCTCTCGCTCTCCCTCCTTCACTCCTTCTCTCAGTCCCTTTCTCTATCTCTCGGTCTTTCTCTCTATCTCTCTGTCTCTGTCTCTGTCTCTCTCTCTCTCTCTCTCTCTCTCTCTCTCTCTCTCTCTCTCTCTCTTTCTTTGCCTCCCCTCCCTCCCACTCCCCATCTCTATCCCCCTTTTAGGCACTGTGGTTTGCAATACTGTTGCTGAAAGCATATCATGCATATCATCATTTTTTTTTTTACAGTACAGAAGCTTCTTAGTTTGAAATAGTCCCACTTGTTTTACCTTGACTTTTGCTTATAAGTGTCC